AGATAGTAGAGGACTATCAGAAATAACTCCCTCTCCCTGAGGGATGGGGGGTGGAGAGGGGCAATGCAAGGATAGGGTGGAGATGTGGTCTTTAAGAACTGTGAAGACCTATTCATCAGGCTCTTTTCATCTTTAAATATTTTTATTTCTAATATAATCTCACTAGCCTACAGAAACTGCTTTCAGTTGTTTCATCATGAGTGAAATATTAGACCAAGGAAGAAATATAAATAATTATATACACAATCTATTTTCTATGCTTTTCTCCCCCAGTTGAAGTAAGGGACAACTGCAAAACAGCATAACTACAAATAGATGTAAAAGTCATTTCTCTGGAACTTAAGGTAGTAATTCAGCTAAGAAATCCTTATAGCCCACTCTTATTTTTTACCCAAGTGTGATTGAGAACCCACACAATTGCCCTGAATTAGCATTTGATTTAAATTATGCAATTTTAGTTATCCAAACAAATGGAAAAAGATCTTGTTCTCCTCTTCTCACTGTCTCCATTAACTGCTGAAGTTAATCTGGCAGTAGGCCTTTATTTTCTTCCAATTTTTCAAAATATCTGTTTTGAATAATACACAACAAAAACACCACCAGGATTTCAATCACACTTCCAAGGTCAGTATTTGTTTAGATTAAAAAACCCACTCAGGCCAGAGTCCTTGACACAAGCTCACTCGGTGTCTGAGATCTAGGTGATCACAAGCCTCGGGCTCTGTTCCAGCCATTAAGTTATTTAAAAGTAGCAGCTGTCAACACACAGCTGCAATGGAAAGAAAGAAATCACCTCTAACATTAGTAACTCCACACAGCTGTGGGTATCAGATTTAGAATCAAAAGAATCTTTAAAAAGCTAAGCCTCCCCCCCTCCCCAAAACAACAACAACCAACAACAAAGCAATACCTTTCACTAAAAACGAGCGCTTATTTTAAAGTATGTATCAGACCACTATTTTAATATGTGCACTAGTATTAATAAATACAGAAGTCTAAAAAGCATATTGTAATGAAAAAAACATTTTGGTAAATAAAACTAATTTATTGAAAATACTTCCTTAATGAATGCAATATAAAACAGAATTGTGTATTCAGCAGTTTTGCTTACAATTCCCTACAATAACTTTACCCTACTTAGAACAATGCCTTTGTTTAGAGATGTACTTTGGAAAAACTGACAATACTAGATTTTAGAAAGAACTGTAAGCAAAATAAGTGGACACATAGTCAGACCAAGTTTTTCAACAAGGTTAAAAGGATTCTGAAAGATTACAATCTATGCATATAAAAGTTGTTAGAGATACCCATTTAAAAATGACTTACATAAAACATGCTTATGTAAGTAAATTGGCCTTCCTAAACTCATACCAATAAAACCTTTTCACATCACACTATCCACATACGTGGAGGTAATATAATAGAATCAGACTGTATGGCTGAAAGGGATCTCCAGATGTCACCAAGTCTAGCCCCTGGAATCTGAGGCAGGACCAAGTTTATCTAAACCAGTGGTCTCCAACCTTTTTAAGCACAAGATCACTTTTTGAATTTAAGTACAACCCAGGATCTACCTCAAAAGAAAATGTAGAAACAACAATCTCACAAACCCAAACACCCTTGCCCCGACCTTCTTCGAGGCCCCGCCCACTCTATTGCTTTCCCCAACCCTCACCCAGGCTTGGACAGGTGGTTGGGATGCAGGAGGGTTTGCGGGCTCTGGGCTAGGGCCAAGGGGTTCAGAGTGTGGGAGGGGCTCCAGGCTGAGCCTGGGGCAGAAGGTTGGGGTGCAGGAGAAGGTTCAGGGTGCGGGCTATGGAAGGGAGTTGGGGTGCAGGAGGGAGTTCAGGGTGCTGGCTCTGGGAAGGGACTCAGGGCTTGGGCAGAGGGTTGCAGTGCAGGCTCTGGGAGGGGATTTGGGTGTGGGGGGGCTCCGGGCTGGGATGCAGGAGGGGGTGCAGGGCTGGGGCAGGGGGTTGGAGTGCAGGAGGGGTTCAGGCTCCAGCCAGGGACCGCTTATCTCAAGCAGCTCCCAGGCAGTGGCAAAGCAGGACTAAGGCAGGCTCTCTGCCTGCCCTGGCTCCGCGTCGCTCCCGGAAGTGGCCAGCATGTCCGGCAGTGGCTCCTGGGGGTGGGGTGGCGGGAGGGGAGAGGCAGGTGGCTCCGTGCGCTGCCCCCATCTGCAGGTACCACCCCTGCGGCTCCCATTGGCCGCAATTCCCCGTTCCTGGCCAATGGGAGCTGCGGGGGCAGTGCCTGCAGGCAAGGGAAGCACACAGAGACCCCCTGCTCCCTCCCCCGAGGGGCTGCAGGAATGTGCCAGCTGCTTCCGGGAGCCATGTGGGGCTAGGACAGGCAGGGATGGCTGCAGAAGGGTTGGCAACCCTAGACTGAGAGGGCAATCAACTGTCAGAGGCTCCATTTACTAGTTGGTGACCACTGATCTAGACCATCCATGACAGGTATTTGTCTAACCATTTCTTCATCTCCAGTGATGGGGATTCCACAAACTCCCTTGGAATTCTAATCTATTACATAACTACCCTTAAAAGTTAGAAAGGGTTTCCTAATATATAACCTAAATCTCCCTTACTATAGAGATTAAGCTCATTACATTTTGTCCTATCTTCAGTGGACATAGAGAACAATTGGTCACAGAGCTCTTGATAACCGCCCTTAACCTATCTGAAGACTTATCAGGTCCCCTTGAGAAAAGACTGAACCCAGTTTTGTTAACCTTTCTTCATAGGTTGGATTTTCAAAATTTTTAATCTGTAGGCCTCACCAGAGCTGGGTAAAGCAGGACAGTTATCTCATGTGAGGCAGTACTACCACCTAGCCAGTTATTCCCCATTTTGCAGCTGAGCATTTGATTTTTTTTTCTTTCTAAGGAAGTACTTTGCATAGGTCTTGATATTAATGTTAAATTATGTCTAGCATTAACTTTTAATTGCCAAACCTATACTCTGTCCACCATTCCAATCTGGGACTTAGTCGAACTCCCTAATCATCTTTTAACAGATGCCCCCCCCCTTTTTTTTTTTTTTTTTTAGAAAGAGTCAGATAAATGTTCCTTCCTTTCCCCCCCAAATGGTAGAATTCCCACTCCCCTACCCACAATCTATTCTGGCTCCAAGTTCAGGATAGGCAATATGAAAATATAAACCAGTGATAGGATTAAGGTCTAATCTTTCAGGATTCTGCTGGTCTAGAAATAGGAGCTTTATAAAATTAGATTTGGGAAATTGGCAGTCTCCCCTTTGGGTGGGGAGGGCAGGGGAGAAGAGAACACAGTTCTTGTTCTTAAGCCTAGAACAGGGGTGGGCAAACTACAGCCCGTGGGCCAGATCCGGCCCATCAGGGCTTTGGATCTGGCCCATGGGATTGCTATCCCTGTGGCGCTGCGGCCCTGCGCCACTGCTGGAAGCGGCCGGCACCACATCCCTGCGGCCCCTGGAGGAGGGAGGCAGAGGGCTCCGTGCGCTGCCCTCACCTCCAGGCACCACCTCCCACAGCTCCCATTGGCCAGGAACAGGGAACTGCGGCCAATGGGAGCTTTGGGGGAAGTGCCTGCAGGGGAGGGCAGCCTCTGGTGCCGGCTGCTTCCAGGAGCGGCGTGGTGCGGGGCCAGGGCAAGCAGGGAGCCTGTCTTAGCCCTGCTGCGCACCACTGCCACGCCAGAGCTGCTCCAGATAAGTGGTGCCAGGCCAGAGCCTGCACCCCGAACCCCTCCTGCACTCCACACCCCAACCACCTCCCCTGAGCCCCCTGCTGCACCCCTATCCCCTACTGCACCCCCCCGCATCCCAACCCCCTGCCCTGAGCCCCCTTGTACACCTCACACTCCTCCTGTGCCCAACCCCTTGTCCTGAGCCCCCTGCCGCACTCCACACTCCAGCCCCCTGCCCTGATTCCCCTCGTACACTGTGCACCCCTTCTGTGCCCCAACCCCCTGCCCCAGCCCTACATTCATGGCCCTGCATGCAATTTCCCCACCCAGATGTGGCCCTCGGGCCAAAAAGTTTGCCCGCCCCTGGCCTAGAAGGTCCCAAGGTAACAGATTTAGAAGTCATAGCATTTTTATGAATTTTAAAAGCTATTTTAGATCATATTTAAAGGACTTTCAATATTCCTTTTGCTATAAACCCTGTACAGTAGTTGGACTCTTGGTAATGAAGATACACAGCTTTATAGGTAGCAGGACAAATAGTAATTCCAGTGAAAGTTTTTGAAACTCTGAAAACTCTAAAATATTTTAAATATATGTGGCATATGCAGAATATATAATGATTTGAAATAAAAGATTTTAAATCCTTTTAACTGCTTTGCACCACTCTGCTGGCACAAAGCATCTGGAAAGCTGTATTAATCAGCTCCCTGATATACCCCCTGTACAAGTAAAATTACACTTTTTCCTTCTGACTCCCTAGCAGGAGGTACTTCTATGAGAGAGTTTGACAAGGACATCCCTACTACACCCTAGCATTATCCAGTTTCTATAATGGCCCCTAGGAGCTTTGAACACCTTCAGTGTAATTGTCAGTAGCTTCCAAGCTATTTTAAGTAGTGCCAAGGACTGAACTGGCCCCAGGATCAGGCAAGTACACCACTCTATCTCCATCCTTCCTCAGGTTGAGTGTATTCTAGCTGCAGCGGAGGATGTAGGCATTTATCATTGTGAGTATAGGATGACCTGCATTATTTATGAATAGGCAAAATGGTTATCCCCAAAACTCATGTTGATAAAACCTTTATGCTGTATCACACCATACCACATATTAACTATCCACATATGCACATATTCAAAACAAAAGCAGTTTAAAAAAATCCAGTCTGATCTGTGAACAAGAATTCACTAATATTTAATGTGTTCCTTTAAATCCTTCATTCTGTGGAAGATGAATTGATATCCCTAAAATCCTTGGTGAAAGCTCCTTGTTTACATCAACTTAGAGGGAAGTAAAATGAATAGTATTATCTGTCCAGTGCATGCTACTTACCAGTGAGAGCACAAAATTGAGAAGGGCTGTCCCACTATAGAAGAGGATTGTCACTAGTGTTGTTACTGTGGTGAAGAGTAGGCTCACATTACGACTCATCACTATCCACAAGGACTCCAGAATCTGGAAAGGAAAAGAAAGACAGAAAGTCACTACTTTGATTAAAATTATCTAAAATATAGATGTGGTCAGAGAATGATTTCTCCCTGCAACAAACCTGCAAAGAATAATTTTGTTTTAAACAAGACAGATTTTTGTCAAAACCAAAAACTAAGATTTTTTCATTTAAAACAATTTTTTCATAAAATCATCCCTTTTGTCAAAAAGCTATTTTCCATCAAAAATGTTGTAATGGATTTTTTTGACAATTCTAATAAAATACATAATTTTGATACAAAAGACTGTGTGAAGACATCAATTCTACTAGGAAGGCAGTGTTATTTACTGTTTATTGCTGCTAGTTTTATTACAATCAGTGAACTTTGTGGAAAGAAAAAAATTTCATCCTTTCCTCAAAAGTAGGTATGGCAGTTAAGTCAAAAAACATGCTGCAGTAACATTACAAAGCTAAATTCAAATCAAATACTGTAATTTTCTTCAACACAGAGTTAAAAATAAGTTCCATATTAACTGGGGCTATTTAATTTTCTGACTTGTTCATTCAATTAACTCAATACAGAAGTTATGATTTTGTGTAAAGGTGCATTACTAAGTTAGATTAGGTGTGGACAGTAAACTACAGTCCATAACATAAAATCAGTAAGTGCTATTTTGGGAGAACTGACTGACTGCTTTCTAGTTGCAGGTAGCATCGGAGAGATTGGTTTTGAGATGGTTTAAAAAAAGGTGATAGACTTAGTACAAACAGGTTGTTCCAATTAACTTGCTCAGTGGCAGAGAAGTCCAAAAAAGGATAGCACAGAGCAGGGAAGTACAGAAGGTAAAACTGAGCAGAAATAAACTGAAGTAGTAGTAAGAACTACGACAAAGGTAGGAATTTTGAAGATAAGGACAGCAATTTTTCAGTTGACACTGAAGTTGGTAAGAATACAGTGATGTATAGAGTGTGCATGCATGCGCATGCACAGGATGTGGAAACACTAATACTCACATTTTAGATAACAGTTTTTGGGAGGTCCTAAAAAAGAAATTGCAGTAATCCAGGTAAGAACTTTCAAATGCAAGAATAAGCAGTGCTGAGATAGTAACGGATGCAGGATATGCCACAAAGGCTAAAGAAAGCAGACTGAGGCCTGGTCTACACTACGAGTTTAGGTCGACTTTAGCCGCGTTAAATCGACTTAAGCCTGGACACGTTTACACTACGAAGCCCTTTCTGTCGACTTAAAGGGCCCTTTAAACCGGTTTCCTAACACCACCTCGACAAGGGGATTAGCGATAAAATCGACCTTAGGGGGTCGGAATTGGGTTAGTGTGGACGGAATTCGACATTACTGGCCTCCGGGAGCTATCCCACAGTGCTTCATTGTGACCGCTCTGGACAGCACTCTCATCTCAGATGCACTGGCCAGGTAGACAGGAAAAGCCCCGCGAACGTTTGAATTTCATTTCCTGTTTGCTCAGCGTGGAGAGCACAGGTGACCATGCAGAGCCCATCAGCACAGGTAACCATGATGGAGTCCCAGTCCCAGTCCCAGGATCGCAGAAGAGCTCCAGCCTGGACCGAACGGGAGGTACAGGATCTGATCGCCATCTGGGGAGATGAAGCAGTGCTCGCCGAACTCCGAAACAGTAAAAGAAACGGCAAAACATTAGAAAAGATCTCCAAGGCCATGAAGGACAGAGGCCATAACAGGGACGCGCGGCAGTGCCGCGTGAAAATTAAGGAGCTAAGGCAAGCCTACCACAAAGTCAGAGACGCAAACGGAAGGTCCGGGGCAGAGCTGCAAACATGCCGCTACTACGCGGAGCTGCATGCCATTCTAGGGGGTGCAGCCACCACTAGCCCAAGCGTGTTCTATGAGTCCCTCTCTGCAAATGGGGAAGCGGGTTCGGCGGACGAGGAAGATGAGGATGGAGAGAACATAGATAGCTCACAGCAGCAAGGAAGCGGAGAAACCAGTTACCCCAACAGCCAGGATATGTTTGTCACCCTGGACCTGGAAACAGTAACCCCCGAACTGACCCAAGACCCTGAGGGCACACAGGGGACCTCTGGTGAGTGTACCTTTGTAAATATTACACATGGTTTAAAAACAAGCGTGTTTAATGATTAATGATTAATTTGCCCTGGCAATCGCGGCCAGTACAGCTACTGGAAAAGTCTGTTAACGTGTATGGGGATGGAGCGGAAATCCTCCAGGGACATCTCCAGAAAGCTCTCCTTCATGTACTCCCAAAGCCTTTGCAAAAGGTTTCTGGGGAGGGCTGCCTTATCCCGTCCGCCATGGTAGGACACTTTACCACGCCAGGCCAGTAGCACGTAGTCTGGAATCATTGCATAACAAAGCATGGCAGCGTATGGTCCCGGTGTTTGCTGGCATGCAGACAACATCCATTCCTTATCGCTCTTTGTTATCCTCAGGAGAGTGATATCATTCACGGTCACCTGGTTAAAATGGGGCAATTTTATTAAGGGGACATTCAGAGGTGCCCCTTCCTGGTCTGCTGAACAGAAATATTCCCCGCTGTTAACCACGCGGTGGGGGGGAGGGGTGAAGTGACCATCCCAGAGAATTGGATGTGAGGGGGAGGGGAGTTAGTTGGGTTTGTGCTGCATGTTAAACCTGAAATCGCAGCCCCTCCTTTTACATTGCAAACCCATTTTAAATGGCACGGGTGCTTGGTATGGGAAATGAGGGCAGAACTGTTTGAAACCATCCCCACATGTTAAGAAGGTTAAAAAAGCCCAAAGACTATATGTCTTACCATGGCTGCCTGCAAGCTGAAATCTGTGTCCTGGCACTGCGTGAGTGATCTCTCACACCAAACCAGGAGACTCTCAATATAAGAGGAAAAATGCGACCTTGTAACGAAAGCACATGTGCTGTGTGATGTTGTGAACAGCAAAATCTAACGTGAAAGAGTCTACCCATTGTTCTCTAAAATGTATCTTTTTTAACAACCTCTCCCTTCTCCACCAGCTGCAAATCTTACTCCTTCGCAGAGGCTAGTGAATATTCGAAGAAGGAAGCGAAGGACGCGTGACGAAATGTTTACTGAACTTCAGACTGCCTCCCACGCTGACAGAGCACAGCTGAATGCGTGGAGGCAGTCAATGACTGATTTTAAAAAAGCCCAATATGAGCGAGAGGAGAGGTGGCGTGCTGAAGATGAGAAGTTGCGTGCTGAAACGCGGGCTGAAGAGGAGAGGTGGCGTCAACTTGTAATCAGAAAGCAAGAGTCGATGCTCCGGCTGCTGGAGCATCAAAGTGATATGCTCCTGCGTATGGTTGAGCTGCAGGAAAGGCAGCAGGAGCAGAGACCGCCGCTACAGCCCCTCTGTAACCAGCAGCCATCCTCCCCAAGTCCTATTGCCTCCTCACCCAGACGCCCAAGAACACGGTGGGGGGGCCTTCGGCCACCCACTCACTCCACCCTAGATGATTTCCATAGCAATAAGTTTTAAAGTTTTAAATTGGAGTGTGTCCTTTTCCTTCCCTCCTCCCCCACCCATCCCGGGCTACCTTTCCAATTATCCCCCTAGTTGTGTGCTGAATTAATAAAGAATGCATGAATGTGAAGCAACAATGACTTTATTGCCTCTGCAAGTGGTGCTCGAAGGGGGGAGGGTAGTAGGGGAGGGTGGGGTGGTTGGTTTGCAGGGAAGTAGAGTTAACAGGGTGGTGGGGGAGGGGCAGAGGGTTCATCAAGGAGCAACAAACAGAAGTTTCACTCCGTAGCCTGGCCAGTCACAAAACTGGTTTTCAACGCTTCTCTGATGCGCACCGCGCCCTGCTGTGCTCCTCTAACCGCCCTGGTGTCTGGCTGCGCGTAATCAGCGGCCAGGCGATTTGCCTCAACCTCCCACCCCGCCATAAATGTCTCCCCCTTACTTTCACATATATTGTGGAGCGCACAGCAAGTAGCAATAACAATGGGGAGATTCTTTTCGTTAAGGTCTGAGCGAGTCAGTAAGCTGCGCCAGCGCGCTTTTAAACGGCCAAATGCACATTCCACCACCATTCGGCACTTGCTCAGCCTGTAGTTGAACAGGTCCTGACTGCTGTCCAGGCTGCCTGTGTATGGCTTCATGAGCCATGGCATTAAGGGGTAGGCTGGGTCCCCAAGGATCACTATAGGCATTTCAACATCCCCAACGGTTATTTTCTGGTCTGGGAAGAAAGTCCCTTCCTCCAGCTTTCGAAACAGAAGAGACTGCCTGAAGACGCGAGCATCATGTACTCTTCCCGGCCAGCCCACGTTGATGTCGGTGAAACGTCCCTTGTGATCCACCAGGGCTTGCAGCAGCATTGAAAAGTACCCCTTGCGGTTTATGTAGTCGGTGGCTTGGTGCGCCGGTGCCAAGATAGGGATATGGGTTCCGTCTATCGCCCCACCACAGTTTGGGAATCCCATTGCAGCAAAGCCATCCACTATGGTCTGCACGTTTCCCAGAGTCACTACCCTTGCTATCACCAGGTCTCTCATTGCCCTGGCAACTTGGATCACAGCAGCCCCCACAGTAGATTTGCCCACTCCAAATTGATTCCCGACTGACCGGTAGCTGTCTGGCGTTGCAAGCTTCCACAGGGCTATCGCCACTCGCTTCTCCACTGTGAGGGCTGCTCTCATCCTGGTATTCTGGCGCTTCAGGGCAGGGGAAAGCAAGTCACAAAGTTCCATGAAAGTGCCCTTACGCATGCGAAAGTTTCGCAGCCACTGGGCATCGTCCCAGACCTGCAACACGATGCGGTCCCACCAGTCTGTGCTTGTTTCCCGGGCCCAGAATCGGCGGTCCACGGCATGAACCTGCCCCAGTAACACCAGGATTTCCACATTGCTGGGGCCTGTGCCTTGTGAGAGGTCCATGTCAATTTCCTCATCACTATCGTCGCCGCGCTGCAATCGCCTCCTCCTCAGCTGGTCCTGGTTTGGCTTTGGCATGTCCAGGAGGCTCTGCATGTTTTCCAGGACAATGCGCGTGGTGTTCATAGTGCTCA